TGGATTGCCGACAGACTGCCGGATTGTCCTTCTCCCTCTTCAGGTTCGGGCCGACCGAAGGCTATTCGGTCTTCTCGGAGTTACTCCTCCGCCTCACCCGATGGTGGGCCGGCGATGCTGTGGCTTCTTTGGACGCTGATTTTGCTACTTTGTCTCTCAATACCACTATTAAGGCTCCTAAGTCACGCAAAGGGGACTACAAGATTCATAGTTTGGATTTTTGCCCGATGGAGTAGCCGCTCATGATGAGTCCCTCAAAGCTTTTCGTTATCGGCTTCCCCACAGACATCTTACCGAGTGCAGGACTCCAAGATGTTAGGCCATTGATGCAGAACTCAAAGCGGATGTTGAAGCCGGTATCAGCGTGGCCTCGCAACTTCGGCTGCTGCTTGGGATTTGACGGAAGACAACCGTCCAAGGTTAGAACATCTTACCACCCTGTTTCAATGGCAGGGCAAGGTGTTGCATGATTTGCTGGCGCACCTCCGGCGCTCTGGCCATGACAACGGGTTGTTCGGGGATGGGTTTCCTGGAGCCCTGTTCTTGGCAGGAAGAGTTTAAAGGAAACTGTTAAGAGCCCCTTTGCGTCTCGGTTTCCTCTTTAATGACGGCATTCGGAGGTGTATAAGGAACACGCAGAGCTTACCAATATGGAGGTTTCTTTGTCTACGTTCGAAGCATTGAGTTCGACCTTTCGTGGCAGATCATCTGCCAAGGGTAGAGGGAAGCCGTTACGTCCGAGAAGAGACTCCGTCCGCGACGCCTCTGGCAGAGGGCGTGGCGTGGCAGATCCGAACCTGTTTTTCAGCGCCATCAGCAGGATCGTCCCTGGGACCCCATTCATCTCGGCAGGGGGTAGGGGAGGCGCCCTTGCGCTCGGGTCGCTGAAGTTGCGACTCCAACCGACTGGGACCTCCCTCCCCAGTCAAAGTGCGGTTCGGCCCTACTCCAGTAGGCGAGGAGACTGGGGATCTTCTGGCCCAATTGGACAATCCTGGAAGACCCCGTTTATCACCAACATTCTCAGGACCCGGTTACAAGCTGCCAATCGCCGCGTGTCACCGCCTCTGACTTCAACGCCCCAGTCACGCGGTGTATGCTCCAGACCAACAGTTTCTGCTAGCAGACAGCATCCACACTCTGTTACGCAAACAAGCTATAGAGACAGTGCTAGACCCCGACAGTCCCCGGGTTCTACTCACCAATCTTCCTGGTTCCCAAGAAGGACTCTCAGGGAAACTTCGCGCATGATTCACAACATGGCAGTTTTCAACCACCTTTATCTTCGGAACCGCCTCACTTCCGCATGGTGTCCCTGGAACAGCTCTGAGCCAAGCTTGCGCCAGGGTCTGGTTGGCCAGCCTCAACCTTCAGGATGCCTACCTGCATGTGCCCATTTACCACCGTCACAGAAAGTACCTGAGGTTCTTTTTTCAGCGGGTCCCACTACCAGTGGAAAGTGCTTCCATTTGGAATTTCCACGGCCCGTGGCTTTTTACTCGGATTACCTCGCCGATCACCTGGTTCCTCCATCTCCAGGGGCATCGACTTCGACCCTTATATAGGCGACTGTCTCATGAACCACCTCGACCCTCAGTTGCTTAGCAAACAGATGCACTTTGCCATTCATCTCTTGCAGCAACTGGGATGGATTATCAACATAGACAAATCCCACCTGGAGCCGTCCCAGGAACCAGCGTTTATCGGAGGCTTCTTCCTGACACATTGCGACCTTAGTTCAGGATTCAGCTAGATAAGCTGGAGAAAGATTGTCAGTTTAAGCCAACCGGGTCTATCCCAGCGCTCGTGCTCAGGGGAGTGGCAGTCCCTCTTAGGTCTCCTCACCTCAGCCCAGGACTTGGCGGCTCAGAGGTAAGCTGATGCTTCGGGCCGTTACAGCGCTTCCTGTTGCCTTACATCCAGGCGAGACGACCTTCAGTTGAGGTTCCTTTGCCCCTGCATCTCCAGCTTACCTCCGTTGGTGGACTGTCCAGTCGAGCGTCTGCGCGCAGGAGTCTCCCTTGACAGAGTTTGTTCACGATCACGAACTGTTAAGTAGATCGCGTCTCTTCAAGGTTGGGGTGCTCACCTCATGACCAGACTACCTCAGGGCTGTGGTCAGGCACCGAGAAGCTGTAGGATGGCACATCAACAACTTCTGGAGCTGCAAGCAGTCATTTTAGCGGTTCGGACACTGGGTGCCTCTGTTGCTGAGCCACCAGGCTCCTGATAGCGTCCCGGACAATTCCACGGTGGTGTGGTTGATTCACAATCAGGGGAACGACCAGGTCCAAACAGTTGTTGGAGCAGGCGTTCCAGCTGGCCAGTCTCCTGGGCGACAATGGCATCAGCGCCAGAGCCCTACATCCCAGGGTGCAAGAACGTTTTGGCAGAAGGCGCTCTCAAGGCCGGGCAAAAGCCGTCTCCAACAGAGTGGATGCTACATCCAGAAGCTGTTCAAACTTCTTTGTCACAGTCGCGCCGCCCTCTGATCGACCTGTTTGCATTCTTCGCTTCAACACACAGCTGCCGTTATGCGGTGTCTCGATTCCAGATCCAGCGGCATGGGCGGTCGGCGCCATGTCCTTGCTTGTCGTGGGAGGGTCTGGGCGTGTATGCCTTTCCACCACCAGTTCTGTTGCCAGCGGTAATAGCAAAGGTCAAGCGGACAGAGGCGATTCGTCTGCTTTTGGTAAGCGCCTTGGTGGCCAGCCAGAACCTGGTTCCCCAGATCTGCGCCCGTCTCGCCGAGAAGAAGTCATAACAGTTACCAGACTGGCCTCACCTGCTCAGGCATCCCCACAGTCGACAGTGACATCCCGATCCGACTCGGTTTCATCTGTGCGGTTGGATCATCTGCAAAAAGCTGAAGGCCAAGGGCTTCTCCACGGTGTCGCGTAAAGGTTATTGCTCGTGCTCATCGAAGTCTCCACAAGATCACTCTATGATGATAAGTGGGTTTCTTTTGAAGTTTTGTGCACAGAAGTCCAAGGACCCGTTGAAGGCTTCTCCTCAGTTTATAGCAGAGTTCCTTCTCTTTCTTGGGAAGTCCGGCGTCTCAAGGGCAACACTATAGGAACTTATTTGCTCGGCTCTTAACTCCCGTTCTGGCGGTCAAGTCGCGACAAAAAGATTTTTCAAGGTGCCAGAACTCATCGCCGCCGTCCTCAAAGCGTTTAAACTGGAGGACCAGAAGGCAAAGCTCCGTCCTCCGGCTTGGGACCTAAACGTCGTTCTTCGTCATCTGAGAGGTCCCCTTATGAGCCCTTGGACCACGGCTTCTTTGAGAACCTCTCCAGGGAGACAGCTTTCTCTTGGCCCTAGCCACAGCAGCTAGGGTTAGTGAGATCCACGCATTGGATGTCACCAGGGTGGGCGTTTTGAGCAGTCACGGCATGGTCTTGTTATCTCGGACTGCTTTGGGATTTCGTGGCCAAGAACCAGCTGCGGGACAACCGGATAGGATCTTCTCCATCCCTCCTTTGTCTTCCATTCTAGGACCTCAGGACGCTGAGGAACAGCTGCTTTGTCCCGTGAGGAGCACTTAAGATTTATATTGCCAAGTCATCTTCCAGGAGGCAGTCTCGTAGAAGAGACTGTTCATCCCGCTGTCTTCTGTGGCCAAAGGTGAAGTTAATAAGAATACGCTGCAGCTCTGGCTCCCGATACTACCATCCTGACCGCCACGATCGCGTAAGATCTGCCTCATCCTACAGCCACTAATCCGCATTAGATTAGGGGCTCTGGCATCCACCATGGCTCTCCACAGAAACTGCACCGCTCCAGCCATCATGGAGGGTTGTTTTGGAAGTCCTCTACTGTCTTCGCTAGTCATTACCTCGCGGGATTTGGCCGTCGAGGACGTGGAAGTTCTTCCATCGTTTGGTCCACTGGTGGTTTGCTCAGCAACTCACCCATCCTACCGCCCATTAGGTAACTACTTCTTCTTACCTTCTGGTCTTCAGGTTAACTTACACTCTGGGTGTATTTGTTTTCCTTAGGGTTGCCTTTAGTTACTATCTGTCTCCTGCTCCAGGCGCCTCCTGCGACAGTCTGGCGATTCAGTAGTTTCTTCCCTTGGCATGTGGGTTTTCTGTAGGGGCGGTCCTCTGGAGCCCGACACCGCCCCTACTGTCGAATCCATATGCATAAGACCTATGGTAAGGTAAGTTAAAAATTTATTGAAAATCTAAATATTTTTAGATATTTAAATACTTACCTTACCATAGGGCGGTAACTCCCTCCCAACGCTGGATGCTCCTCCCCTCTCTGGGCTCTTCGGACCTGGTCAGTAAAAGTGATTTTGGATGGACCGGGCTTGCGCGGGAGGGGAGATCACGTCACTTCCGTTGCCTGTACACTCGTCGATACAGGAGGTGGCCGTTCTACAGAATGGCGAATCAACGACTGTCTGATCTCTTTAAGCGGAGCTTGAGGTAATATGCATAAGACCTATGGTAAGGTAAGTATTTAAATATCTAAAATATTTAGATTTTAATAAGTTTTGGGAAATCCATTATAGCGACAGTTAGGTATGATTCTTTATGCTACTATCAGTCGTCATTTTAAGATTCCCGTAGATTTCTGTCTTCAAACTTGATGTGTTATGGTAACAACTCAGGGGCAAGCGTGGCTAGACTGAATGAATGACAGGTTTATTCGCGGTGTATAAATTTTTGCGCTAAAATGTTTTGCGCGAAAATAAAACCTGCGCGAAATATGATAAGTTTACAGTAGCTGGAATACTGCTGAGTGTGGCGTAAACCTAAACACACTCACTCACTAATATTAAGTCTTCGTTTGAAAGACAGATCTTTACCCTACAGGTGTCACAGCTTGATCTTAGTGCTACGTTGTAGACGGTGTTGGAGAATGTGACGTTAGCATTGCTGCTGTTGTGACCTTGAACTACAAAACATGTCAACTGGAAATGTAACAGAAAGAGTGAAATAAGCATATTATGTTTTCAGACAGCCAAAACATTTGTGTGATATTTCCAGGAAAGAGTTGAGCACACTGTACAGACAGACACCAACAGATCAGCAGACGACCAACAACTCCAGCATCCACCGCAAAGGTCCTCCAGTGATGACGTCCGTGACTTCTTCGTGGACTACCACAGACAGAGGATGATTGCCAGTGGTGACGTGACAGAGGAGGACTATGCTGATGTGGCTGCAGACGACGTTGATGATGTCGAGAAGGAGGAGCCAAAACAGGATCTCCCAAAACATGTTAGTGCTGTGAAGGAGGTGAGTGAACTTGTCTGGGAGATGGTTCTGGGTTGTGTCTGTTCCGACCCCTCCACAAGCATGCTCTGGGTGAGCCCCATGGTTTCCCCAGTCTTTTCTTAGATCCCAGAGATGTTCAATGGGGTTCATGTCTGGAGAACGTGCTGGCCAAGGCAATATGTTGACGTACACGTTGTGCAGGTATTCTTCAACAGTTCTAGAAGTGTGAGGCCTTGTATTGCCATGCTGCAAAATGACTTCTCTTGGTTGTCGAATAAAGGGCCCCACAAAAGGTCTCAACAGATTTCCTCAGATGATAATCAGTAGGGGTGAAAGGGTACGCTCCTACCATGGTATAGTACGTATTGCGTTACGAGGTCTTCAGTTCGGTCCGTTTCGGTTCGGTATGTGAGATATGATCATACGCTCCTACCATGGTATAGTACGTATTGCGTTACAAGGCCTTTGGTTCGGTCCGTTTTGGTTCGGTATATAAGATATGATCGTACACTCCTACCATGGTACGTATTGTGGTACAAGGCCTTCGGTTCGGTCTGTTTCGGCTCAGTATATGAGATATGATCATACGCTCCTACCATGGTATAGTACGTATTGTGGTACAAGCCCTTGGTTCGGTCTGTTTCGGCTCAGTATATGAGATATGATCATACGCTCCTACCATGGTATAGTACGTATTGCGTTACAAGGCCTTGGTTCGGTCTGTTTCGGTTCTGTATATGAGATATGATCATACGCTCCTACCATGGTATAGTACGTATTGCGTTACAAGGCCTTCGGTTCGGTCCGGTTCGGTTCGGTATATGAGATATGATCATACGCTCCTTCCATGGTATAGTACATATTGCATTACAAGGCCTTCAGTTCGGTCCGTTTTGGTTCGGTATATGAGATATGATCATACGCTACTACCATGGTATAGTACGTATTGTGTTACAAGGCCTTCGGTTTGGTCCGTTTCGGTTCAGTATATGAGATATGATCATACGGCTCCTACCATGGTATAGAATACGTGATTGCGTTACAAGGCCTTAGCCGGTTTGGTCCGTTTTCAGTTCGGTATATGAGATATGATCATATCGGCTCCTACCATGGTATAATGCGGTATTAGCGTTACAAGGCCAGCCGGTTGGGTCGATTCGGTATATGAGATATGATCATACGCTCCTACCATGGTATAGTACGTATTGCGTTACAAGGCCTTCGGTTCGGTTCGGTATATGAGATGTGATCATACGCTCTCACCATGGTATAGTACTTAAGGTGTTACAAGGCCTTCAGTTCGGTCCGTTTCGGCTCTGTATATGAGATATGATCATAATAAGAGCCAAACCTTAGAGTGTTTAATAACATGGAAATAATAGTCATAATCTTTGCTATTTTGAATGTGCCTTTTGCTATTTTAAAGTTTTTTCAGAATTTTGTTTTTTGTTGCTGTTTCCATGGAAACACGACTTAGTGCCAAATGTGTTTGATGGTTTTGTCTGGAGCATATCTCTTAAAGTTTACATGCTAGGTTCACCAAACTTCACACACATGTTAATCATTACCCATTGATGTGCCTTTTGCTATTTTAAAGTTTTTTCAGAATTTTTTTTTTTGCTGTTTCCATGGAAACACGACTTAGTGCCAAATGTGTTTGATGGTTTTGTCTGGAGCATATCTCTTAAAGTTTACATGCTAGGTTCACCAAACTTCACACACATGTTAATCATTACCCATTGATGTGCCTTTTGCTATTTTTTTTTTTTCAGAATTTCTTTTTTTGTTGCTGTTTCCATGGAAACACGACTTAGTGCCAAATGTGTTTGATGGTTTTGTCTGGAGCATATCTCTTAAAGTTTGCATGCTAGGTTCACCAAACTTCACACACATGTTAATCATTACCTATTGATGTGCCTTTTGCTATTTTAAAGTTTTTTCAGAAGTTATTTTTTTGTGCTGTTTCCATGGAAACACGACTTAGTGCCAAATGTATTTGATGGTTTTGTCTGGAGCATATCTCTTAAAGTTTGCATGCTAGGTTCACCAAACTTCACACACATGTTAATCATTACCCACTGATGTGCCTTTTGCTATTTTAAATTTTAAATGAGTGCAACATGAGAGTCAGTAACATTCTTCACCAACGTCCACTTCATTGTGTGCAACATGAGACATTCAAGTTCAGTTGTATGTCAGGTTTCCACGGAAAACACAAAAAAATAATGTTTCCATAAATTATTACTGTAATCAGTACATGGCAAAACTGTTATCTAACATGTATATAAAGTTTAATAGAGTCGAGGAGAAAGTCTTGTGAGCTGCTGATCCTTGTCACATTATATATATCAATATCAGTCATTTCCATGTCCCAAAGTGGGAAGGGAGGGTATGTGAGCTGTGCTCACTTCTACACTTGTTAAACAAATTAACACAAAAGACAGTTACAGTCTGTATGACTGATCATGTCATTGTTCTAAATCATTGTGTATTTCTCGTTTCAGTCTGTTAAATATTTAGAGACTTTCCACAGTACTTGGGAAGTACTGATACACAATCTTGGCACATTCCAGAATTTTGTTTTATTCAGTTTTCAGATTCATTAAAAATATCTTTCAAAGTTCATTCAGAAATGTAATTCTCCGTTTTGAAACAAATATGTTTTGGCTGCTTTCTTTTTTTATTGGTCGTTAAATGTTCATTGTTCTGATACTGCTTGTTATGAGATGAATTGAGATCTTTGTGTCGTGGTAACGACATACATACATAAGGCTTAGAAAACCACTAGATCCTTACCCCTGATTGCAGTCATCCCTCACCATAAAATGTGTCTCTGGGTCCGTGGATGACCCCCTGTGTTATGAGACACCTGCGTTACACATAACACGGAATAAAGGCCAAGTAAAATCGCATTTTCCATGGACATAACAGAACTGCTATTTCGTGTATTGTGCCTAGTCAAAACTATGTCGTATCGTCGGAGGTGAAGAAACGAACTTTGCAAATGAAAATACGTGTAGATAAGTGTATAGGCAACCTGCAATCAAACATCACAACACGTGATAATTCAGTTGTTCTTCCCGTTATGCTACCTGTTATTCAACTAAGCCGGAAATAGCAATCAGCTGTGTACACGTTTTGCCCCAATCAGTTAAGAACGAACTGAAAAATAACATCAAAGAATTTATTCCATTACCAGAATAATTTGTATCTCAAGCAGATATTTTAACAGAGATAATATGTATTGCTATTGTATTATTATTATGCATGTTTTCTATGAAAATATTAAAAATAATGATTAACTTAGGCTCAGCACTTACGTGGCTGGATTCTTGACGTTTGAGACAGTTTGACAAGTCACCATTGACATCCCACGGAGCATGCCACTTTGATTGTAAAAACAAAATGTTGGCAATTAATTTTGAAACATGACTTAAATGAGTCTGAACTTAACTGAACTGAACTTTCAACTTTCAACTCAGGCCTCAGACAGTGGCATATGAGGTTACAAATGTCTTACAATTAAATATTTTCATATAGTAATATACATTATATGTGCAGTCGAGTATTTCATATATACAGATGAATAAGTAACACATGATATGTATATGCAAATAGATTGCATAAAGATACAAGTGAATATATAATTCTGTCTTACCTCCTTGAAATACAAACCAATAATAGCGATTTGAATCTATGATCATTTGTCAAACAACTTTCATCCTAAGTTGAATAATATTCTGAGATTTTTATGTTTAATTGGCAAGGTAATATTATGAGGATTCACAATCTTAATTTCACTTTATTCTATTTACTTGCTTGTTAAAGTGAAATTCATCGGTCCATTTCACTGCAAACAGACTATAGTAGCAGTTAATCCAGTTCCAGGGGAGTGAGTACAGCTACCAGAACAGCCAGGCGAGGAGCTAGAGGTACTAAGTAGTGGCTTATAACAAACGGGGCTAGAGGGGTGGAGTCAGAAGGGGTACGCGTGTAGAATGAAGTGATGCCATTTCACACGTTCTCTCCAGTGTTACTGTAAACAGTTTTTTTCCGAATGAAAATGGGATTAAATTTAATCAAATACAATGAGATCGAGGAAGATGGTTTTATTATGGGTTTTTGCGTCATACGTAAAATTGTCTTTAATAAGTTATTACAATGTTCCGCTGTTCGTCTGATTTGAAATAACTGAAAAAGAAACAGAACCCAGCTATGGAAACCTAAAATACCAAATGTTTGGATTGCATTACGGTGCACCGAACCGAAGGCAAAATACCGCGGTTCAACTAATACCGCGGTATACCGTTTCACCCCTAATAGTCATCTGGCCACAAATGCCGCCCCACACCATGACACCTCTTCCATCAAAGTGATGATCTTCTGGAACACAGTTTGGTGACTGTCGCTCTCCTCTACATCGAAGAACTTGAACACTGCTATCACCACTGATGTACAATTCGTGCCCATTGCATTCTGCATCAACGGTGTAGATGGGTCAAGGCCATCCCATGGAAGGGGTGGTAGACTCATGTACCAGCTATACCAAGCCGCCGAAGAACTGTTCGTCGGCTGATGACTTGTCCTGGTGCTGTCGCAGCCATTGATGTCGCTGTCATGAATATGTTCGGGAGGTTGATCCGATGGATGTAGCAGTTTTCAGCTGGTGTCATGACTCTTGACCTTCATGATCTTGGGCGGACTTGGGTCTGCCCTGTTTGCTGGTAGTGGTTTATTGATTTGCTGATGGTGGCCTGGCTGCAGTTGAAGGTTCTTGTCAACTGACGTTGTGAAGCCCCCATACTGGCGGTGGAGTCTACTAATGCCTACAGCGAATAATGCCTACAGTCTTAAATAAACAATTTTATGCACCAGTGGTTACAAATTGTGCTGCCTCTACCCTTTCACTAAAGTGGTAGGTCCCACTTCAGTGTACACTAATGCCTTCAGAGAATACAACAGACTTTTAAATGACATTTTATGAGATTTAATCATATCATCATTTTCATTTCTTCACACAAAATTATGAATTATTAATTGAGATGACATTACATTACATTCTAAATCATATATGACATCATTAATCAACATGAATTATTTACATATGTACAAATATACAAAACATACAAATATACATTTCTGATGACAACTGAAGTCATTCGAGCTGTTTGAGTCATTTAAGCCAACTTAATTAACCAGATGTCCAGCGGCTGAGAGGAACTCCATGGGGGTCGTGATTCCAGTTGTCAGTTGGTCCTTCAGTCTTGTGAGTCTCTGGTCGATCTCAGTGTAGATCCTCTTACAGGGCGGGGGACGGGCTCCGTGTGACATCTGCACCAACTTGTTCCTCTCAGTATTCACCGACTGTGGTGCACTTACCAAGGCAGCCTCCATGAACACACTTCCAGTGCAAACCATACTGGCCATACCGCTTGCCCGGTCTTGTTGTGCTTGTATAAGTCTTGGCATATTTGTGGTTGTTTTGGGTTACTGCATGCTTGCTCTGTCCAACATCAATATTTATGACACAATAATGCTCGTGCATTATGACATACAATCACCTTTTTCATGTTTTGAAAAATACACAATTCATTTGAAATTTTCGCACAGTTGTGTTGTTATCGGGACCATGTTGGGTTTTGGCGTATGTTTTCTGCTTGGGTTCAATTACTTTAAATGTGATAACTTAGTTTTGCCCGGTTGTTTATATAATTCTCAAATGCGATTTTTATTTATATTTTTTTTTGCATTAATGGACATTAGAAAATATCAATGTGGAAAATAAGATCCAGTCATAACAAGCTTCAATACATGTATACTTTTGTCAATACAAGCATCCGGCTGGGTTATTTAAAACTGTTTATTTTGTCTCATTCATATTCCATAAACCAATTCTGTGAGCATTTGTTGCATTATCTTAGTAACACACCTGCCTATATTAGAAGATAAGTACCCAATTTGGGTAATTTGAAATAACAGCCATGGTTTTAGTGTATAATTTCAGGTAGAACTACAAAAACTTTGATTGTTATTGAGGGAAAATAGGATTTACCTGTGGAAACCATAATTGATTGGCAATTTGCAGCATGTATTAGGATGATAAAAGTTTCTAATGGGCCCAGAACAAACAGCAGGTGCACATTAAGATTACTACTGATTGTCTGTTAGTCTTAACAGTCTTGAAAACTGTAATGGTTGTCTATTGGTTATCTTGAATAGCCTCAAGGTGTGAATACTTTAAAACACACAGGCACCTCTTGTTCTTATTGTATTTGGAATGCCAAAATGATTGTGAGCACTAAAAGGCAAGATAAACATTTGTGGCTGTTATGGTAAGAAACACCCATATGGATTTAAACAATATTCTTTCCCATGTGAAAATAACAATATGTATATACTTGTTTAGTGTTTAAGTCTGTACTCAGCCATATTCCAGCTATATGGCAGCTGATACATATATATGCTTGATTGTCATTTTAGAAGATGATATTTGATGAACATAGAGATTTTTTCTGGGTTACATCTTCTTTTTATTCTTTTTATTTTATTTTTTATTATTTTTATTTAGAATAAAAAGAAGATTTTACCCCCCAAAAATCTCTATGTTGATACATATATAGTTCATGTTTTGTGTATTTGCAATGTATCATCACGTGTATCGGCTATGTATCATCTGTGTATGGTGTATAAATCATGTATGTATCATCTATGTATTGTCTGTATGGTGTATGTATTATGCATGTATCGCGTGCATCATATATGTATCATGTATTTATGATGTGTCTGCTTGTAGCACTAACCAATCATACTTAGGTTGTTTATGTATCATGTATGTATCATGTATGTATCGTCTATGTATCTTCTGTGTGTGGTGTATGAATCATGTATGTATCATCTATGTAACGTCTATGTATTATCTGTGTATGGTGTATGTATCATCTATGCATCCTCTGTTTATGATGTATGAATGATGTATCGTCTATGTATCCACTGTGTATGATGTATGAATCATGTATGTACCATATATGTATCCTCTGTGTATCATGTATATATCGTCTCATCTTTGTATCATCTGTGTATGATGTTTGAATCATGTATGTATTGTCTATGTATCTACTGTGTATGATGTATGAATCATGTATGTATCATCTGTGTATGATGTATGTATCATGTATGTATCATTTGTGTATGGTGTATGAATCATGTATGTATCGTCTGTGTATCGTATGTGTGGTGTATGTATCATGTATGTATCATCTGTGTATGGTGTATGTATCATGTATGTATCATCTGTGTATCGTATGTGTTTGGTGTATGAATCATGTACGTATCATTTATCTATCATCTTTATCATGTATGAATCATGTATCGTCTATGTATCATCTGTATTATGTATGAATCATGTATGTATCGTGTATGTATCCTCTGTGTATAGTGTATGAATCATGTATGTATCGTGTATGTATCCTCTGTGTATGGTGTTTGTCACCAGGTACTACAGCGGACCAAGCACCTGCTGGCTTCCTCTGCCCCACGGTTGCGGCTGCTGGTACTGGACATCATCAGTCAGGCTGTCGTTGCTCTCAATGACTGGAGAAGTAAGAGATTCTTTCATTTCATTGAACCAGTTTAACCACTAATACATATCTAGGGCAACATCCCATTATGTAGTAATAATAAATTTTTAATTTTTGGGGGGGTAATTGATATTTAATTACTGTATCCCTGTTACAGGTAGGGAGAAAGGAACCAGGGAATTCCCTGCTCTCTTTGAGAATAAAATATACATCATGAAGAATCAGAGTTGTAACAAGATAAAACTGTCACACACACATGCATACTGAAAGAACACACAGTATAAAAACACAATACAAAAGATCCACATGAATTGTGATAAGCCGCAGGTGTGAATACACAGGTGCATATCAAGCAAAGCTAAAATAGAATATTTTCACAACTTTCATTCACACTTGACCAAGAAATATGGTAAATATACCAACCATCATAATATAACATTATATAGAATGGACATGGCTGGACTCATAGTGAAAAGAAAAGAAGATTCAGTATTCTAATAACGAAATACACAAGGCCATTTTAGAAAGTGGTCAAATGTAACATATGTTATATTTGGGATTACACTTTCTCAGTAAAGTACAGATTCTAGTACTTTCTGGGGGTTGAGTCCCATCCGGGATTCGAACCCACACCATCAGAGTCAGGCACCTAATCACCAGCACACAGTCAGACGCCTGGACCGCTCAGCCACCGTGGCTTCCACAAAAATGGAAGTCGGACAACTGGTAGTTTAGACTGCGTGACTTTGTGTACCCCTCTGATAAGTGTTAATTGGCATTCTAATAACGAAATACACAATGCCATTTCAGAAAGTGGTCAAATGTAACATATGTTTTATCTGGGATTACACTTTCTCAGTAAAGTACAGATTCTAGTACTTTTTTGAGGCTGATGAGGTTAACTACCCCATTGTTTTTCACAGATGAGGAGAAGCTAGTCACCATTAAGGTGGGTCATGTTCACAGATGAGGAGAAGCTAGTCACTATTATAAGGTGAATCATGTTCACAGATGAGGAGAAGCTAGTCACTATTAAGGTGAGTCATGTTCACAGATGAGGAGAAGCTAGTCACTATTAAGGTGAGTCATTAAGGTGAGTCAGGTGAGTCATGTTCACAGATGAGGAGAAGCTAGTCACTATTATAAGGTGAATCATGTTCACAGATGAGGAGAAGCTAGTCACTATTAAGGTGGGTCATGTTCACAGATGAGGAGAAGCTAGTCACCATTAAGGTGGGTCATGTTCACAGATGAGAAGCCAGTCACTATTAAGGTAAGTATTGTTCACAGATGAGGAGAAGCTAGTCACTATTAAGGTGAGTATTGTTCACAGATGAGGAGAAGCTAGTCACCATTAAGGTGGGTCATGTTCACAGATGAGGAGAAGCTAGTCACCATTAAGGTGGGTCATGTTCACAGATGAGGAGAAGCCAGTCACTATTAAGGTGAGTATTGTTCACAGATGAGGAGAAGCTAGTCACCATTAAGGTGGGTCATGTTCACAGATGAGGAGAAGCTAGTCACCATTAAGGTGGGTCATGTTCACAGATGTGGAGAAATGGGCAACAGAGCACAGTGCTAGACAGTAGTAAGTTGATACACGTAAGTTCTTCAGCTCAGCTGGAAGTGTTGATGTTCCAGGCTATTCAGACGCTGGCCACAATGTGTGAGTGCTGCGGAGACTTCCTCAGACAACGAACCATGAAGGATGTCGTGCCCAAACTGGTTTCTTTCCTCACCACCCAGGAGAAGATCAGGTATATTGACAGTATGTTGGCAATATAATGACAATCTGTTGACAATATATTGTCAATATACAGAGATGCCAACCTCTACGATTTTATCGTAGTAGCTACAAATTTTAGCCTCAAACTACACCAATACGATTGCACTAGAAGTTCTACAAAATTTGAAGAAAATTCATTAAAATTTGGATATATTGGCAAAAAACATATATTTTCGACGATTAAAAAGAGACAACAAGATGAAACGTAATGCTGATAATTTGGAATTCTGCTGTTAGAGGTATGTGAAATTAAAGCTTCACTCTTGATTAGTGTCATATTATCTTTCTCAGAATCCATCATGATTTTAAGCATTTACTTGACTACTAATTGTATGGTCAAACTACTAAGTTTGATCCTTGAAAGTACTACATGTATTTGCAACACTTTGGGGCTGGCATCCCTGAGTATGTGGATGGAATGTTGACTGTAGATGGACTGTATATAGATCTTGATACTGTATTGACAGTATGTTGACAATGTATTAACAATAATTGTACAGTATGCTGGTATTAAGTGAACAGTGGGCTCACAATTTGTGGACAATGCAACATTTGGACACTAAACAGTGATGATGATCACTAATACAATGTCAGTGTGTTGACAATATTAAGTCAACAAGTCAAGTCAAAGTCAAGAAAAGGTCTGACTATAACTAGGTGCTGGGTTGATGGCTAGCATATGCTGGCAACATGAAACAGTAGTTTCAACCTGAACTGGATGTTTCTGCATGCTTTCTTCTGTTTGTGTGTGTGTGTCTGCCTGTCTGTCTGTCTGTCTGTCTGTCTGTCCGTCTGTGTCTGTCTGTCTGTCCGTCCGTCCGTCTGTGTCTGTCTGTCCGTCCGTCCATCCGTGTCTGTCTGTCTGTCTGTCTGTGTCTGTATGTCTGTCTGTCCGTCTGTGTCTGTCTGTCTGTCTGTCTGTGTATGTCTGTCTGTCTGTCTGTGTCTGTCTGTCTGTCTGTCTGTCTGCCTGTGTATGTCTGTCTGTCTGTGTCTGTCTGTCTGTCTGTCTGTCTGTGTCTGTCTGTCTGTCTGTCTGTGTATGCCTGTATGTCTGTCTGTCTGTCTGTCTGTATGTCTGTCTGTCCGTCTGTGTATGTCTGTCTGTCTGTCTGTCTGTCTGTCTGTCTGTGTGTGTCTATTAATTATCCACTGTGTATGATGTATGTATCATGTATGTATCGTCTGTGTCCATTAATTATATGCTGTCACTCATCTTTTTGGGCTTATTCCATAAACTGAAATACAAACTAGGAAATTCCCGCTACCAGACTACCGTTTCCTTATTGTCTGGGTGTGACGTGTGTTTTGTCTTTGCACTGAGTTATATCACTGATCATTGTCTGTGGTTTCTTCATGCTCAAAGACGTTATGCTTGTTGACTTATTATTTGTAAGGATTGACTTATTGTTTCGATATTTGTTTGGTTACGCTGAGAGTACAATGTACCCATTTTCACGATTATAGCCTCCATTAACGCATAACATTCAACATCAGTTCTTAAACAATTCTTGTCAAAGATGGAATATTGCCTAATGAAGTTGGTATTGAGTATCACATCTTTACTGTGTTAGCGTTGACTGTGTAATCATACACCATGTTATATAGTGTGACTTCCCACAGAAACACCCTCCTGGTTACACTGAGAACACCGTGACATATAGTGTGACTGCCCACAGAAACACCCTCCTGGTTACACTGAGAACACCATGACATATAGTGTAACTACCCATAGAAACACCCTCCTGGTTACACTGAGAACACCGTCACATATAGTGTGACTGCCCACAGAAACACCCTCCTGGTTACACTGAGAACACCATGACATATAGTGTGACTGCCCACAGAAACACCCTCCTGGTTACACTGAGAACACCGTGACATATAGCGTGACTGCCCACAGAAACACCCCCCTGGTTACAGTGAGAACACCATGACATATAGTGTGACTGCCCACAGAAACACCCTCCTGGTTACACTGAGAACACCATGACATATAGTGTGACTGCCCACAGAAACACCCTCCTGGTTACACTGAGAACACTGTCACATATAGTGTGACTGCCCACAGAAACACCCTCCTGGTTACAGTGAGAACACCATGACATATAGTGTGACTACCCACAGAAACACCCTCCTGGTTACACTGAGAACACCATGACATATAGTGTAACTACCCATAGAAACACCCTCCTGGTTACACTGAGAACACCGTCACATATAGTGTGACTGCCCACAGAAACACCCTCCTGGTTACAGTGAGAACACCGTCACATATTGTGTGACTGCCCACAGAAACACCCTCCTGGTTACAGTGAGAACACCATGACATATAGTGTGACTACCCACAGAAACACCCTCCTGGTTACACTGAGAACACCGTGACATATAGTGTGACTGCCCACAGAAACACCCTCCTGGTTACACTGAGAACACCGTGACATATAGTGTGACTGCCCACAGAAACACCCTCCTGGTTACACTGAGAACACCATGACATATAGTGTGACTGCCCACAGAAACACCCTCCTTGTTACACTGAGAACACCGTGACATATAGTGTGACTGCCCACAGAAACACCCTCCTGGTTACACTGAGAACACCATGACATATAGTGTGACTGCCCACAGAAACACCCTCCTGGTTACACTGAGAACACCGTGACATATAGTGTAACTGCCCACAGAAACACCTTCCTGGTTACAGTGAGAACACCATGACATATAGTGTGACTGCCCACAGAAACACCCTCCTGGTTACGCTGAGATCATTTAGCAACAATAAACTGAGAAATAATGCATTGCATTGATGTATGGATCTTTAAAGTAGTTCCTGCTAGGTGGCCTCATTTGCATATTTATCAGATGATGATGCCAAGTTTATTGGACTGGTTTATTGCCCTGTTTACAAGATCCATTATATGACAGCTAATATACACAATACTGTAGTAGCCACACATGATTTAGGCGCTCAGATTACCGGCTGTCAAAGCTGGACATAAAAGATTCATGTGATGTTCATTTAATACACAGTTTCTCTCAATAACCTCATCATTGGTTCATATAATAATATTTATTATGAAAACGTTTCTCCCATTTTGTAGAAATGAGGACATTAGTGTCTCTTGTATTAATTGTGTTAACATGTTTATCAGGGCTGCCACCTGAGCCCGTGGCTTTAAATCATCAAGTTTTTAATGTACTTAGACTCGGCCTTACTTTCTTAGCTCAGCCAATAGATAAATCAGTCAATAATAATGGCTGATGACAGACTGCTATATTGATAGCGTGTTCCTCAGGGGGGATGTCATGGAGGGATGCAGACTGCCAAAACAGCAGATCTGTCTGTATTCCATATTGTCTGGAGCAGTGGATCTGTCTGTATTCCATATTGTCTGGAGCAGTAGATCTGTCTGTATTCCATATTGTCTGGAGCAGTAGATTTGTCTGTATTCCATATTGTCTGGAGCAGTAGATCTGTCTGTATTCCATATTGTCTGGAACAGTGGATCTGTCTGTATTCCATATTTCTGGAGCAGTAGATCTGTCTGTATTCCATATTGTCTGGAGCAGTAGATCTGTCTGTATTCTATATTGTCTGGAGCAGTAGATTTGTCTGTATTCCATATTGTCTGGAGCAGTGGATCTGTCTGTATTCCATATTGTCTGGAGCAGTGGATCTGTCTGTATTCCATATTGTCTGGAACAGTGGATCTGTCTGTATTCTGTATTGTCTGGAGCAGTAGATCTGTCTGTATTCCATATTGTCTGGAGCAGTGGATCTGTCTGTATTCCATATTGTCTGGAGCAGTGGATCTGTCTGTATTCCATATTGTCTGGAGCAGTAGATCTGTCTGTATTCCATATTGTCTGGAGCAGTAGATTTGTCTGTATTCCATATTGTCTGGAGCAGTAGATCTGTCTGTATTCTGTATTGTCTGGAGCAGTGGATCTGTCTGTGTTCCATATTGTCTGGAGCAGTGGATCTGTCTGTATTCCATATTGTCTGGAGCAGTGGATCTGTCTGTATTCTGTATTGTCTGGAGCAGTAGATCTGTCTGTATTCTGTATTGTCTGGAGCAGTAGATCTGTCTGTATTCCATATTGTCTGGAACAATGGATCTGTCTGTATTCTATATTGTCTGGAGCAGTAGATCTGTCTGTATTCTATATTGTCTGGAGCAGTAGATCTGTCTGTATTCCATATTGTCTGGAACAATGGATCTGTCTGTATTCTATATTGTCTGGAGCAGTGGATCTGTCTGTATTCCATATTGTCTGGAGCAATAGATCTGTCTGTATTCCATATTGTCTGGAGCAGTAGATCTGTCTGTATTCTGTATTGTCTGGAACAGTAGATCTGTCTGTATTCTATATTGTCTGGAGCAGTGGATCTGTCTGTATTCCATATTGTCTGGAACAGTGGATCTGTCTGTATTCTGTATTGTCTGGAGCAGTGGATCTGTCTGTATTCCATATTGTCTGGAACAGTGGATCTGTCTGTATTCTGTATTGTCTGGAGCAGTAGATTTGTCTGCATTCCATATTGTCTGGAGCAGTAGATCTGTCTGTATTCCATATTGTCTGGAACAGTGGATCTGTCTGTATTCTGTATTGTCTCGAGCAGTAGATTTGTCTGTATTCCATATTGTCTGGAGCAGTGGATCTGTCTGTAGCAGTGGATCTGTCTGTAGAGTCTGTCTGAACATTCTGTATTCTGTATTGTCTGGAACAGTGGATCTGTCTGTATTCTGTATTGTCTGGAGCAGTGGATCTGTCTGTATTCTGTATTGTCTGGAACAGTGGATCTGTCTGTATTCTGTATTGTCTGGAACAGTGGATCTGTCTGTATTCTGTATTGTCTGGAACAGTGGATCTGTCTGTATTCTGTATTGTCTGGAACAGTGGATCTGTCTGTATTCTGTATTGTCTGGAACAGTGGATCTGTCTGTATTCTGTATTGTCTGGAGCAGTGGATCTGTCTGTATTCTGTATTGTCTGGAGCAGTGGATCTGTATTGTCTGGAGCAGTCTATCTGTCTGTATTCTGTATTGTCTGGAACAGTGGATCTGTCTGTATTCTGTATTGTCTGGAGCAGTGGATCTGTCTGTATTCTGTATTGTCTGGAGCAGTGGATCTGTCTGTATTCTATATTGTCTGGAGCAGTGGATCTGTCTGTATTCTGTATTGTCTGGAGCAGTGGATCTGTCTGTATTCTGTATTGTCTGGAGCAGTATATCTGTCTGTATTCTGTATTGTCTGGAGCAGTATATCTGTCTGTATTCTGTATTGTCTGGAGCAGTGGATCTGTCTGTATTCCATATTGTCTGGAACAGTGGATCTGTCTGTATTCTATATTGTCTGGAGCAGTGGATCTGTCTGTATTCTGTATTGTCTGGAGCAGTGGATCTGTCTGTATTCTGTAGTTGTCTGTCTGTATTGTCTGGAGCAGTATATTTGTCTGTATTCTGTATTGTCTGGAGCAGTATATCTGTCTGTATTCTGTATTGTCTGGAGCAGTAGATCTGTCTGTATTCCATATTGTCTGGAGCAGTAGATCTGTCTGTATTCCATATTGTCTGGAACAGTAGATCTGTCTGTATTCCATATTGTCTGGAGCAGTATATCTGTCTGTATTCCATATTATCTGGAACAGTGGATCTGTCTGTATTCCATATTGTCTGGAGCAGTGGATCCATCTGTATTCTACATTGTCTGGAACAATGGATCTGTCTGTATTCCATATTGTCTTGAGCAGTAGATCTGTCTGTATTCCATATTGTCTGGAACAGTGGATCTGTCTGTATTCCATATTGTCTGGAGCAGTAGATCTGTCTGTATTCTATATTGTCTGGAACAGTATATCTGTCTGTATTCTATATTGTCTGGAGCAGTAGATCTGTCTGTATTCTACATTGTCTGGAACAGTGGATCTGTCTGTATTCCATATTGTCTGGAGCAGTAGATCTGTCTGTATTCTATATTGTCTGGAGCAGTGGATCTGTCTGTATTCCATATTGTCTGGAGCAGTAGGTCTTTCTGTATTCTACATTGTCTGGAGCAGTAGATCTGTCTGTATTCTATATTGTCTGGAGCAGTATATCTGTCTGTATTATATTTTGTCTGGAGCAGTGGATCTGTCTGTATTATATTTTGTCTGGAGCAGTGGATCTGTCTGTATTTTATATTGTCTGGAGCAGTAGGTCTTTCTGTATTCTATATTGTCTGGAGCAGTGGATCTGTTTGTATTCTATATTGTCTGGAGCAGTAGATCTGTCTGTATTCTATATTGTCTGGAGCAGTGGATCTATCTGTATTTTATTTTGTCTGGAGCAGTAGATCTGTCTGTATTCTATATTGTCTGGAGCAGTAGATCTGTCTGTATTCTATATTGTCTGGAGCAGTGGACCTGTCTGTATTCCATATTGTTTGGAGCAGTAGGTCTTTCTGTATTCTACATTGTCTCGAGCAGTAGATCTGTCTGTATTCTATATTGTCTGGAGCAGTAGGTCTTTTTGTATTCTATATTGTCTGGAACAGTGGATCTGTCTGTATTCTATATTGTCTGGATAGTAGATCTGTCTGTATTCTATGTTCTCTGTATGGCATCACAACACAGTTATTATATGTAGCTCTGTTCTCTTAATGACATCACAATACAGTTATTATATGTAGCTCTGTTGTCTGTATGGCATCACAATACAGTTATTATATGTAGCTCTGTTGTCTGTATGGCATCTCGATACAGTTATATTATGTAGCTCTGTTGTCTGTATGGTATCACAATACAGTTATTATATGTAGCTCTGTTCTCTTAATGACATCACAATACAGTTATTATATGAGGCTCTGTTGTCTGTATGGCATCACAATACAGTTATATTATGTAGCTCTGTTGTCTGTATGGCATCTCAATACAGTTATTATATGTAGCTCTGTTGTCTGTATGGCATCTCAATACAGTTGTTATATGTAGCTCTGTTGTCTGTATGGCATCACAATACAGTTATTATATGTAGCTCTGTTGTCTGTATGGCATCACATACAGTTATTATATGTAGCTCTGTTGTCTGTATGGCATCACAATACAGTTATTATATGTAGCTCTGTTGTCTGTATGGCATCACAATACAGTTATATTATGTAGCTCTGTTGTCTGTATGGCATCACAATACAGTTATTATATGTAGCTCTGTTGTCTGTATGGCATCACAATACAGTTATTATATGTAGCTCTGTTGTCTGTATGGCATCACAATACAGTTATTATATGTAGCTCTGTTGTCTGTATGGCATCACAATACAGTTATTATATGTAGCTCTGTTGTCTGTATGGCATCTCAATACAGTTATTATATGTAGCTCTGTTGTCTGTATGGCATCACAATACAGTTATTATATGTAGCTCTGTTGTCTGTATGGCATCACAATACAGTTATATTATGTAGCTCTGTTGTCTGTATGGCATCACAATACAGTTATTATATGTAGCTCTGTTGTCTGTATGGCATCACAATACAGTTATTATATGTAGCTCTGTTGTCTGTATGGCATCACAATACAGTTATTATATGTAGCTCTGTTGTCTGTATGGCATCACAATACAGTTATTATATGTAGCTCTGTTGTCTGTATGGCATCTCAATACAGTTATTATATGAAGCTCTGTTGTCTGTGTGGCATCACAATACAGTTATTATATGTAGCTCTGTTGTCTGTATGGCATCACAATACAGTTATTATATGTAGCTCTGTTGTCTGTATGGCATCTCAATACAGTTATTATATGTAGCTCTGTTGTCTGTATGGCATCACAATACAGTTATTATATGTAGCTCTGTTGTCTGTATGGCATCACAATACAGTTATTATATGTAGCTCTGTTGTCTGTATGGCATCACAATACAGTTAATGTCCCCCGCCGCAACGCGGAACGGGGGACTATGTATTCAGCGGCGTCTCCGTCCGTCCGTCCGTACGTACGTACGTCCCGATTCTTGTTAACGCGATATCTCATGAACTGTTACACCCAATGTCTTCAAATTTGGTGACAGCCTACATTGGGGGATTATGCAGACACCAGTCGATTTGGGTGACCTTGACATTATTATCAAGGTCACCACGACTCTGACCACTTTTCAAACTGTTGTTAACGTGATATCTCATGCACTGTTGTACCCAGTGTCTTCAAATTTGGTGACAGCCTACATTGGGGGATTACGCAGACACCAGTTGATTTTGGGTGTCCTTGACCTTTTTTTCAAGGTCACCACGACACTTTTCACACTTTATAAACTCTTCTTAACACGGCATCTCATCGACTGTTGTACCCAATGACTTCAAATTTGGTGACAGCCTACATTGGGGGATTACGCAGACACCAGTTGATTTTGGGTGTCCTTGACCTTATTTTCAAGGTCACCACGACACTTTTCACGCTTTCAACTTTTGTTTACGCGATATCTCATGCACTGTTGTACCCATTGTCATCAAATTTGGTGACAGTTTACATTGGGGTATTACACAGACACCAGTTTATTTGGGTGACCTTGACCTTATCTTCAAGGTCACCATGATACTTTGACCGCTTTTTAAAGGCGATATCTCATAAAACATTGCACCCAATGTTTTCAAGTATGTTGACAGCCTACATGGGGTGATTATGCAGACACCAGTCATTTCAGGCATCTTGTATGTGACCCAAAAATAAAAAGGAGTAAATATAGATATTCCATTCTTTAGCGGCGGGGGACATTGCCACATCAGTGGCAAACACTTGTTATATGTAGCTCTGTTGTCTGTATGGCATCACAATACAGTTATTATATGTAGCTCTGTTGTCTGTATGGCATCTCAATACAGTTATTATATGTAGCTCTGTTGTCTGTATGGCATCTCAATACAGTTATTATATGTAGCTCTGTTGTCTGTATGGCATCACAATACAGTTATTATATGTAGCTCTGTTGTCTGTATGGCATCACAATACAGTTATTATATGTAGCTCTGTTGTCTGTATGGCATCTCAATACAGTTATTATATGTAGCTCTGTTGTCTGTATGGCATCACAATACAGTTATTATATGTAGCTCTGTTGTCTGTATGGCATCACAATACAGTTATTATATGTAGCTCTGTTGTCTGTATGGCATCACAATACAGTTATTATATGTAGCTCTGTTGTCTGTATGGCATCACAATACAGTTATTATATGTAGCTCTGTTGTCTGTATGGCATCACAATACAGTTATTATATTTAGTTCTGTTGTCTGTATGGCATCACAATACAGTTATTATATGTAGTTCTGTTGTCTGTATGGCATCACAATACAGTTATTATATGTAGCTCTGTTGTCTGTGTGGCATCACAATACAGTTATTATGTAGCTCTGTTGTCTGTATGGCATCACAATACAGTTATTATATGTAGCTCTGTTGTCTGTATGGCATCACAATACAGTTATTATATGTAGCTCTGTTGTCTGTATGGCATCACAATACAGTTATTATGTAGCTCTGTTCTCTTAATGACATCACAATACAGTTATTATATGTAGCTCTGTTGTCTGTATGGCATCACAATGCAGTTATATGTAGCTCTGTTCTCTTAATGACATCACAATACAGTTATTATATGTAGCTCTGTTCTCTTAATGACATCACAGTACTGTTGCTTCCTCAGTTAACAATAAGATGGTTGTATATAGTTGCAGTTCAGCCCAGGCATACCAGTACACAGTGTCTTACAAGCTGCAGCTGGCCTGCCTGACACACCTGGGACCCATCTGTCAGGAGGTAGGTGATCATGTCTGACACACCTGGGACCCATCCCATCTGTCAGGAGGTAGGTGATCCTGTCTGACACACCTTGGACCTACCTGCCAGGAGGTAGGTGATCCTGTCTGACACATCTGGACTTATCTGTCAGGAGGTAGGTGATCATGTCTGACACACCTGGACCTATCCGTCAGGAGGTAGGTGATCCTGTCTGACACACCTGGGACCCATCAGTCAGGAGGTAGGTGATTGTGTCTGACACACCTGGGACATATCTGTCAGGAGGTAGGTGATCCTGTCTGGCACACCTGGGACTCATCTGTCAGGAGGTAGGTGATCCTGTCTGACACACCTGGGACCCATCTGTCAGGAGGTAGGTGATCCTGTCTGACGCACCTGGGACCCATCTGTCAGGAGGTAGGTGATCCTGTCTAACACACCTGGGGCCCATCTGTCAGGAGGTGGAGGTGGTAGGTGTTCCTCTGACTGTTCTTGGTCTTACAGTATGACATATACTTTAATACTTTAATAGTGTTTGAAATATGGTTTATAATGTGGAATAGATGGACTCATATTTTGCAGAATATGGTTTAATAATGTGTGATATTATTTTTTGCAGGTGGAGTCCCATGGTCTGGATCCTGTTGTAAGAGGTTGTCTTCCCTACCTGAGTTTACACCAGCCCAAACCTCTACAGCAGGTGAGTCAGTCAGATCCCAGAGTGAGTTTGTTATATCTCTAGGTGAGGTGATTAGATCCAGTGGTGAGTCTGTGGTATCTCTAGGTGAGGTGATTAGATCCAGTGGTGAGTCTGTTGTACCTCTAGGTGAGGTGATTAGGTCCAGTGGTGAGTCTGTTGTACCTCTAGGTGAGGTGATTAGATCCAGTGGTGAGTCTGTTGTACCTCTAGGTGAGGTGATTAGATCCAGTGGTGAGTCTGTTGTACCTCTAGGTGAGGTGATTAGATCCAATGGTGAGCATTTCTGGTGTCCCCGCCGCGATATTGCTGGAATATTGCTAAAAGCAGCGTCAAACCAAAATCACTCTCTCACTCCAGTGTTGAGTCTGTTCTGTCACCAGGTGAGGTGATTAGATCCAATGGTGAGTCTGTTGTACCTTTAGGGGAGGTGATTAGAGCCAATGGTGAGTTTGTTGTACCTCTATGTGAGGTGATTAGATGCAGTGGTGAGTCTGTGGTATCTCCAAGTGAGATGATTAGATCCAATGGTGAGTCTGTGGTATCTCTAGGTGAGGTGATTAGATCCAATGGTGAGCATTTCTGGTGTCCCCTCGCCGTGATATTGCTGAAATATTGCTAAAAGCAGCGTAAAACTAGAATCGATAACTAGCTCCAATGTGAGTCTGTTGTATCTCCAGGTGAGGTGATTAGATCCAATGGTGTGTTTGTTGTACCTCTAGGTGAGGTGATTAGACACAGCGGTGAGTCTGTGGTATCTCCAAGTGAGGTGATTAGGTCCAATGGTGTGTTTGTTGTACCTCTAGGTGAGGTGATTAGACACAGCGGTGAGTCTGTGGTATCTCTTGGTGAGGTGATTAGATCCAGTGGTGAGTCTGTTGTATCTCCAGGTAAGGTGATTAGATCCAATGGTGAGCATTTCTGGTGTCCCCCGCTGTAACATTGCTTGAATATGGCTAAAAGCGGCATAAAACTAAAATCACTCACTCCAGTGTTGAGTCTGTTGTACCTCTAGGTGAGGTGATTAGATCCAATGGTGAGTGTGTGGTATCTCCAGGTGAGGTGATACGATGCAGTGGTGAGTCTGTTGTACCTCTAGGTGAGGTGATTAGATCAAGTGGTGAATCTGTTGTACCTCAAGGTGAGGTGACTAGATCCAATGGTGAGTGTGTGGTATCTCCAGGTGAGGTGATTAGATCAAGTGGTGAGTCTGTTGTATCTCCAGGTGAGGTCATTCGATCCAGTGGTGAGTGTGTGGTATCTCCAGGTGAGGTGATTAGGTCCAATGGTGAGTGTGTGGTACCTCCAGGTGAGGTGATTAGATAAAGTGGTGAGTCTGTTGTATCTCCAGGTGAGGTGATTAAATCAAGTATTGAGTGTGTGGTATCTCCAGGTGAGGTGATTAGATCAAGTGGTGAGTCTGTTGTATCTCCAGGTGAGGTGATTAAATCAAGTGGTGAGTCTGTTATATCTCCTGGTGAGGTGATTAAATCAAGTGGTGAGTGTGTGGTATCTCCAGGTGAGGTGATTGGATCAAGTGGTGAGTCTGTTGTATCTCCAGGTGAGGTGATTAAATCAAGTATTGAGTGTGTGGTATCTCCAGGTGAGGTGATTAGATCAAGTGGTGAGTCTGTTGTATCTCCAGGTGAGGTGATTAAATCAAGTGGTGAGTCTGTTATATCTCCAGGTGAGGTGATTAAATCAAGTGGTGAGTGTGTGGTATCTCCAGGTGAGGTGATTAAATCAAGTATTGAGTGTGTGGTATCTCCAGGTGAGGTGATTAGATCAAGTGGTGAGTCTGTTGTATCTCCAGGTGAGGTGATTAAATCAAGTGATGAGTGTGTGGTATCTCCAGGTGAGGTGATTAGATCAAGTGGTGAGTCTGTTGTATCTCCAGGTGAGGTGATCCAATACAATGGTGAGTGTGTGGTATCTCCAGGTGAGGTGATTAGGTCTGATGGTGAGTGTATGGTATCTCCAGGTGAAGTGATTAGATCAAGTGGTGAGTCTGTTGTACCTCAAGGTGAGGTGATTAGATCCGATGGTGAGTGTATGGTATCTCCAGGTGAGGTGATTAGATCAAGTGGTGAGTCTGTTGTATCTCCAGGTGAGGTGATCCAATACAATGGTGAGTGTGTGGTATCTCCAGGTGAGGTGATTAGATCCGATGGTGAGTGTATGGTATCTCCAGGTGAGGTGATTAAATCGAGTGGTGAGTCTGTTGTATCTCCAGGTGAGGGGATTAGATCAAGTGGTGAGTGTGTGGTATCTCCAGGTGAGGTGATTAAATCAAGTGGTGAGTCTGTTGTATCTCCAGGTGAGGTGATTAGATCAAGTGGTGAGTCTGTTGTATCTCCAGGTGAAGTGATTAAATCAAGTGGTGAGTGGACATGAAACACCTGAGATATCCTGACAATGATACTTTGTCGCTTCCTGAATTTGTTTCATCTGAAAAGCACTGGACACAAATTCTCAGAACTGGAACTGAACATGATGGCTATTTTTGTGTGCATAGAAATAATTTATTAGAGCATACATGATGAGACTGAGTCCAGTTTCCACCTAGGTGTGAAGTGAGTATACAAACTAGACTCACTCACTCACTCACTCACTGGTTTGCCATAGTGTTTCTAGGTTTGTCAGGACCATACCCACTCACTCACTCACTCTCACGTTCTTGTGGGCTTCAACAAGGTCGACCTGCATCACTGCCAGCTTTTCTCCCACGTTAAGCTGACAAGTCATGACATTACTGGGCTACTGTTCCAAGTGGCAGATACCCTTAAACATGTCCTTGCCTTATCAATATCCTGGTATGTTTGCATCACCATATAAGATAAATGAGAAGTGAGTGCTTCTATTTCAGGCAAGCTTAACATGTTTTAAACATCTCATATCCCTGGAGCCAGATGTCATATGGCTACGACTCAGTGACCTTTACACACCAGATGACCTTTCACCTCCGGGGTCAGAATTTAGGCACATCAAGGTCAGTTCCCAAAAGTGTTGTCCTCGTGTTATGTGTTTTCGCACACTTAAGAACATCCCTCATCTTGATTATCACATGAACAATTGTAATTCTTGTCACTAACTTATAAAAGTGACCTTGTACTAAACACATGCCATCATTTAGGAGTTTACAATGTCTGTGGGAAGCAACAGCCCTCATTACAACCAGAGGGAGAACTAATATCTGAAAACCTATAATGTTCGAAAACCTATGATGTACGAAAACCTATGATGTCCGAAAACCTATGTCAAGCATGAATGACAATGGTACAAGAATCTGTATCGAAACGTCGCACTCACGAATAAAAAGAAGTTGTTATCCATAAAGTTTGTTCTATATTGTACTTCCCAACTTCCAAAATGCCACTCAAAGAAGTGTTATGTGTAGTTTGTAGTGCAGGTAGCAGTCCTTAGCAGTACTTTGTCATATAGAGTCCTTGAGGCATTTAGAATTGATACACATAAAGAATTTATGGATGTCAACTTATTTATTTTCAGGGACATTTTCATCAGGTGACAGAGGAGTATGAATATACATCCATAAACTTCTCGCCTTTAAGTCGTTTGTCAGTCAAGTAATGCCAACCTACGCTTGTGATAGCCTCAGTGTATTTCCCGTTACTTCACATGTTGTATTAACACATGTTTCAGTTCCTGGCCCGGTCTGGGGAGCGGAATGAGTACTCGGACAACGTCATCTTGCTGCTTCCTCTCACGTCCTGTGTACAAACTGCAATAAAGTCTTGACATTTGTAAACTACTCTATTATTTCCTCTTCCAACAAACTGCCAGGAGATGTGTGGTCTCTGATGTTCATACAAGTGATATAATGATATGAGGCTCATGGTACAATACTGTGTTGCCATGTCTCATAACTCTTAATAACTGTCCAAGTTCATGCAGATTCTCTAGTATTTCCTTGTTGTCCCTAAATAGCAGAATCTGCACAGTGACCCTAGCTTATATGTTCCTCCACTACAATAACCTATCTTTGTTCTCTGAAATTATAAAACAGGTGATTAAGGGCTGATTCACTATACATGTATAATGTAGAATATGGACTTATGAAATATCAGGATACAAATAGCATTGCTCTCTTATTATTATTATTGGGCTACGTCTCGTATGACCTCCTGTCCTTACACCGCTCTTCCATACATCAGTACACAACTCCAAAAGTGTTCAGTGTTTCTATATACAACTGTGTATACACACTAAGCAAGAGATCACGTGGAACCTTTTGCAATTCATGAATTTTTAAAAGTTTTGCCTAACCATACAATGTACAAGGTGACAGACTTTCACTGGAAATTTTATTGAGACTTGGCTAAATAATGCTCTCAGAATTCCGTTCAAATGAGTTTTTGACATTCAGCATTCTTTACACCTCCATGCAACATGTATTTTGTTTGTGTGACATTTCTAACAACTTTGGAATTACAAGGCTGACAGAAATATGATCTTATCTGGGAGGGGCGGTTGGTTTGGCTGGTGGTTAACATAAAGGAAGCAAAAACTTCATGTCAGTTGACACACATCACCACATCACCACATCATCAGAACTGGCGTCTTACCAGGGTCACTTCATGGACTATATCTGTTTGTCAGTATACGACATTGCGACATCTCAAACGCTAACAATAATACCGTTAGACTGTTTGCTGATGACGGGTACGGGGAGTTACAGGGATTGCATCTGATTGTGTGACCTCCTTGATGCTAGTCTGAGTGAAGATGTCACTAACTGATTTGGGCACACACATGCCTATCGAAATAAACTTGTTCAAAACAAAATTCATTTTCTTCAGTCACAAACATTGAACAGAGATGTTTCAACAGCATAGGCATCTTGGTTTATACCATTAACATGGTACTACATGGACTCAACAATTTTACGAAAACAGCCCCCTTCTGCAATGAGGTTGTGGTATGATATACCATTTCAGGTCAGAACACAACATTATAAAACGATTATGTATCCAAACCAACCAAAAGCCCCAACGAACTTCTCCCTTTGCCACATATAGTATGACCAGAAATTATTGAGAATTTTAGGAATATGTTTAATTGGATTTCTAGTATAAACAACCTTGACCAGCTATCAAGTGCTTGGTTTCATTCAAGAGAGACAACTCCGTTAATCCTTTTTCATTAGTTTGTGGAAGGTTATCCCCCTTTGTTTACTTGCTAGCAGACGACATTTTCAGTGAACCTCAGTATGGATGATTTAGGGAAGAGGAAGTTGATTTTAGAGTATTATAACAAGGACATCAGATCAGCTAAAGTGATTTCAAGTAGAACAGGCATCCCTTTGTCCACTGTTTATCGTGTTTTGAAAAATATTGCAAATGGATATGGCATTGACTGTCGGTGACAGGAGGAGGCTTGGTATTCTTGTTTCTAAAAACAAACGAAGGAGTTTAGAAAACTTAAGGCATATCTGTGTTAGGGGCAACGCCCTCTGTGTATTTGAAGGGAGTATGAACAGTGAGCGGTACACAGATATTCTCGAGGGACAATTACTTCCATCTGCTCACGTGTTCTATGGAAATGTTTGGATTTTCCAGCAGGACAACGACCCAAAACATCGTTCAAAGCATTCACAGGCCTGGTTACGGCCAAAATATGACATTATTAGATTAGCCAAGCTATAGCCCTGACCTAAATCCAATAGAAAATGTTTGGGGACTTATGAAGGAAAGTGTCAATAAGAAAAATCTGACAAATATTGCTGAAATGAAAGAAGAGGTGGTCCGATATTGGGACAACATGGACCACGACTTTCTAACTTCTTTGATCAGTAGTATGCCCGCCGCATTGAAACCTGCATTGCTGCCCATGGTGACTTGACAAAATACTAACTGTTCACCTGTCTTTGAATCTGGAGTTATGTTCTGCTAATATTCACATTTATTACTTGAGTAATGAGTGAAATTTAAAAAAAAATACAATCTTTAAATTCTCAATAATTTCTGGTTGTACTGTATATATTATCATATTGCACGTACTAAGCTGAGACAAAATGGGAGTCAGTTAAATAGTGATTTATGTAGACCATGAATTAAAGCCAATGTTTGCATGTTTGTGTAGAGGTAAATGAAAATGTGTAATACTAGTATGTGTTTCTTTGTGACGAAAAGTTTCTCCATATCTGTTCTGGAGGCAGAGTACTAATGTCCCAATGTCGTTAACCAGCGTATATATACATTAGCGTTAGTCACGCACCACCCACATTCTGTGACAAGTACGACAGGCTAGCTTCATGTTGGCGTATATTCGTTGAAAACCACACTCCGCGTATTAAAATGATAACCGTAACATAGCTTACTCTGATCAAAACAATAACAACACTGAAATTGAAATTTGATAACGATGCACATGCAGTCGTCGAGAAATACAAAAACGTGAATATGAACAATACCGGAAAATATGGTCACCATGACTTCGCCAACAATTCGTCACACAGTCTCGGATGATGATTGTTGTGATTGTATGAGCCACCACTGCCGACCACACCAGTACCTGGTGCAGCCACCCCTCGCTGTGGGCAGCGCCCAGTCTCTCATATTGGCAATCAAGCGTGGAATCTCAGCACCGGAATCCTGTACTAGTCCTCATGCAGTGACTGCGTCCTTGCAGATTGTCAACAGGAGGCTACGTGCTTCCTCACACTCCGACTAGTAACAGGTTAATGTTTAGTGAGCACCGATGTAGTTACCCATGTATATATATTACAGGAAATATGTATAATCAGTAAATATGCATAATTAAATAACGGAAATTTCAGTAATTATGTTTAATGTCTGATTCACTCAGGAATTATGTATATTTACTGAAATTTTCAGTAATAATACATAATTCCTGATATTTAAGAAACAAAATTATACATATTTACTGAAATAATTTGAATTACTGAAATACTGATATTACTTTTAAAGTTAGTCAGTAGCAAGTGCCACAAGGCAAAGACTCAGTGTAGTTCTAGGTGTCACTCAATACTCCCATGTTCAAATAAAAATTCTTGAAAATCAATGTCTGTACCTTGTTCCTAAAAATGAAGACATATCTATGAAAACTAGACTGACTTTAAGAGCCATAACCGGTTTGTCAAACATCTCTGTATAAGGCGATCGGAGTGAGTCTGTCTGACTCCTCTTGCTGTTCATCCAACGTGGTCGGCAGCCTCTGACGTCGATGCTCCCTGTCATGTCCCATCACTTCGTTATGTCTATAGTCACTGCTCTTGCATTATATTACCTTTGAATGTGCATTGCCACTCTATTCTTACATTCATAAGACACGTTTCTATTGATTTGTGATCTTAGTTCACTTCAGACTGCAGTTGTTTATTCCATAGCATGTCTTGTTTGTTGGCTTCACGTCTTAGTTTCTCTATGCTCTGCTTTCAGCTGGTTCACCCTTTAGTTTCAACATGGGGATCAACATGGAACAACCCGCATCAACGATACGTGCACGGTGAGCACGGGTGTTGTCGAGAAAGACAGTGTCGACCCCCGCAAACCGGACTGCAAAGGGTGTCAGTGTGTCATCTGGCTAGTGCTGTTCAGCCATTCCCCATGCATCGTCAAATCTGTTCTCAGATCTGTAGTATTCTCAGTGCTGATGTCAGCAATGTATATTATTTTCCTTGTCACAGCTGATACACATCAATATTTCACTAAAGGTTGCATGATATCGCAATATCCAATGAATGAATTCTTCCAAATTCAGGAATTATTTTTGGTTGAAAAGGAATCCTCATATGAAACCACCATTTCGATTTTATTTGTGTTAAAAATACAACCAACCGATGCCAATAATCGTATGTAATACCGTCTGTATACATTGTAACTTCATTGTTTCTGTTTCGTCTCATGTGAATATTAACAACTCTATACAGTTAGCAGGCAAATGTGTCGTGCAGATTTTGCAACTTTACCGACAGTTCTATCTAAATTATGTCCAAAAAAATACAAGCCCTGGCTTATGTCCCTTGCAATATGACGTCACTAATGCCCAGCAATAAACGAATGACGTCATTAGACCTTTTAGACGCATTTCACGTGGTACAGGTATTGGTGTGTGGTTCATGTGTCTCGATGTTTTAACCCTCGTGGTGCGTGGCCGTCAGCTGGCTTAAATCTAATGTGCTGCTCATATATACTGAAAGGCAAAAGAAATGTAATATTGGAAATGACATTTAAGTATCAACGGAAAATTTAAACCTACTTTTTTAAAATAATACGCCACTGAAATGCAGTACCGACTTTCATCAGAGAAGATAACCCCTCTCAATTGTCCCCCACGACAGTTTTGCCGCTGATGTGTCCACTTGGATACGTTCCCGGCGGTGACGTTGGGTGAATATGGGTCTCCTGGCAGGACATCGACAAAACAGGTTCCTGGCTTGGAGACGTCGCCGAATGGTAGGTCACTGACTGGTCGCTGGTGGTTTCCTATGGTCACCCAAGCTGTTTCTCTGGCCCTTGCGAATAGGTCTTGCACGTGTTGATGGACGATGTGACGGTCGTGGCGACGTGTTGTTACACGGGGTTGACCACTACGTGGACGCTCATCAGTGCTGCTGGTGGCGTTGTATCGCACTCTAACACGTTCTATCATTCGTACGCTGCAACTGAAGTCATTAGCAATGACTCGAGCATGTTGACCAGCGTGCAGACGTCCAATAGCTTGTTGTGGTTGATCTCTCGTTAACCTAGTCATAGCTGCTGTGTTCAGAAAACAAGTGAACGATTG